TCTACGTTTATAGTCGTGTTGTGTTTATACTCACTCTCTTGCAAACTATTCTAAATCAAACTTTTCATCTTGAAAATTGAAAGAAGCCATGATGCGACCTTGGTGAAGTTTGTTTATATCCTACTTTTATCCGTTTACTTCAGGCGATTGTATTCAGGCTTCAAAACGCAAATATTAACTATATGAACAAAATTTGTAAAAATCATAAACCTTTCTTGATCACAGAGCTTATTTTCTGCAATAATCCAAAACTCAATGGAAATATCCTGTTGGCTTTTTGTCGAGAGAACCAGGGTGATGCCAACTAACAAGTTGGCCTACAAAATTACAAAAATCCTGCAGCACTCTTGATGATTTTTTTTTTTTTTTTTACTTGATACTACAGAAGAACACAGAAATGTTTGTTGTTCTCACACACATACTAAATCTAAAACTATGCTATCTACACACAGTGGGAGGAATTAGGCTAGAGGTAACCATTTGTATCTGTACTGTGCAGTTACAATCTATTAACACATCAGTCCTCGACAGCTACAAAAGGTCTAGAACCTGTTACACACTTTGTTGTTAACCAAAGATTCCTAAATACATCCAATCTACAATTCCCAACATCCAGTGTTATTCTATAGTTTAATTTAATGTTGGGCTAAGAGTACCTCCAGTCAGTGAATCGAATGTATTCTTTGCACCATTTACAAAGCAAAAAATAAATCAGCACATTTCCAAGCCAAAAGAGCAACAGGAAGGAATCCAGGCTGTCTGAGATTTAGGGCTGTTAATTAGTGTGAAGTGTGGCTTTTCGAAAAAGAAAGAAAAAAACTCCCAAGACTCTAATAAAGGCTAGTATATACTTTTGTGTTGCACTCATACCGCCCTTTGCGGTCGCGTATGTGTGAGGCATCGCGACTCGCGAGGAGAGGATTTTGGTAATAAGGCCAGACCTCAGCTGAATTCTCTGATCCTCATTGACACGTAGACCACATAAACAAACCAACAACAACAACCAAAGACAAAAAAGATCAAATACAGTCGGGAGCTGGCCTGAAAGAAAAGGACAGTGAAAGACAGAGAGAGCTTTTTTGTAAATAACAAACTGACGGAGTGTGTGTGCGCATGTATCTGTGTGCATGCAGGTCCATGATGATTGTGTGGGCAATGTTATCTCAAAGGGGCCAGAACAGCGCTGGGTGATGTTCACGGGTGATCATGCTGAGTGGCGATAAATTCATGTTTCATAGGACAGTGGTTGTGCTTATCAGAACTGAAGCCGCACTGCCCTCCGCAAACGTTTTCGACCAAAGTCAAAGTTCAGTTTTGGCATTTGCCGCCGCGCCGTGCATCTGCTGTGAAAGCAGTCAAGGAAAGAAGTTAACACAGTTAGCGCAGCCATGAATTATGTAACAGCTGACACACAGCAAAGCCAAGGCTAAGTTACAGCTAAAAACAGTAATTATCTTTGAAAAGAAAAAGCAGGAAGTTGTACAGGACCCATTTTAATGCTCCAACACATAAAAGGAATGCTGTGCTAAACATAATTCAGCTCATTTGAGATGCTTTCTCTGTGTGGAAACCCCGTTTATACAGACCAGGCATGTGATCGGCTAAAGATAAAAACTAAGGATCATTATTATGATTTTTATAAAAAAAAGTATTTGATCATGATAATATATAATAATAAAATATATGTTATAATAATTGTATTAATTTGTAATAAAAGCAGTATCTTTATTGTTATTTTACAGAAAAACAACAAAATCGCAATACTAATATTTACAGTCGTCTTAATTTTTTTTGCTTTCAAACATTAAAGCTTCTCCCACCTTACATACCCAATCCTACCCATCTCCACCCCTTAGATCTGGATCCAACTCCACCCCCTGGATTGCATGTACTGCAATGAGGTGCTACTGACAAATTTGGGAAGATGCTTAGGTTGTTTTCCCGAATGCAAATTATAAGTGACTCAAACACACAGCGCTTGCAGACTAGCATTTACTGTAAATTGAAATTGAAAATTAAACCTTACTCCATATCATGCAGAGCGTTAAATGCATAGGAGTAATTTGCGCGTGCATGGCTGAGGCACCACTTTTTGCCAGGGTCGATATTGTCCCCATAACTTTTGAAATATCTCGCGGCACAGATGTTACTAATATACAGCCCATTCTCCCTCCCAAGGCGTCACCTAACTGACGCCTTGGGAAGGATTTGACCATGCTTCAATATCTGACGCTTTAGGCGTGTACCCTACCCCCACCCCATTCCTAAAACCTAACCGCGTCCTCTAACTGACGCTTTCCTTTAGCGCCTAAAACATCAAATATTGAAGCATGGTCAAAGGTGATGCCTTGGGGTGAGAATGTGTTGTAATATAAATAAATAAAACATCTCTAATTAACTAGCAGAGCATTCATTTCGTTCGTTAAATAAGAGGCGATCTGGCACGCTGAAATGTGTTGTTTTTGAAATCATGTGAACAAAGTGCTCATTGCCGCTGCGATCAGTGGTGCGGATACACTGTTCTCTTGTGGCTCACGCTGCCACGCTCAGTTTTCACACGGACGTGTGCTTCAATCCGTTGCGTACACTCTCTATACATTCCAGTGAAATCAAAGTGAAATGCACACAAACGTGTCCCTGCTTAAAGGAGCCATTTTTTTAAGATTGTGGCCAAAACTGGTACTGCAATCACTTTCAAATGACTGTAGAGCGGTGTATCCCCTCCCCCTCTCCATGATTTGAGGTTGCCAGATAGGCTGCAGGATCTGCAGAACGTATCTGCAGCTGTGGTAACTAGAGAAGAGCTGGCAATCCGGATGACTTAAATATACAACCACTGATAAACATAATCGGGTTTAATGGAAAAAAAAAAAAAACTAAACAAGTGCGGATCAGAACCCAGAACCTCTGACACGCTTGGCAAAAGTTCTGCCACTGGACCATTAAAGCATGCATGTGACTGTCAGATCATTTCTTCATGTGAAAATTCACAGCATCAACACACATTAGATCTCATTAAATGACAAATTAAACACAATGTACTATTTAAATCGATTGCTGGTATTTCTGAATTATGATTTATCTGTCCGCTGCTTCAGCGGTCACAGTAAGCTTGTTTGTTCCGCACCAGGGTACGGATGATAACATTCACACTTGAACCGCACTAGCAGAGCAATCACACCAGGGTTCACTTTAATCGAACCAAACACGCCAACACACATTTATAATGTAGTGCATGAATCGTCTTTTACATAAATTGTTGAAGCTTGAATGTCCAAGTCCTCCAGACTCAATGTTATTGAATTGAAAAGAGAGGCAAGGAAGGATTAAATTGAAAAGGTCAGCAGCGTCTTACGTCAGCAGCGTCACTGATCGACAACAGAACAGGAAGACAATACAATGCTGAATAAACTCATATATTTTGTTATTTTTGGACCAAAATGTATTTACGGTGCTTCAAAACTTCTAACTAAACCCACTGATGTCACATGGACTTCTTTGATGATGTCTTTATTTCCTTTCTGGACAAGGACAGTTTACCGCACATACATTTTCAAAGGAGGGACAGAAAGCTCTTGGACTAAATCTAAAATATGCGTTCCTGCGTTCCGAAGATGAACTTACAGGCTTGTGACGACATGAGTGTTAATTAATCATTTTCATTTTTGGGTGAACTAACCCTTTAAAGTACCCAGCAGCATGCTTTTTGAGTGTCTGCTTTAGCATCATATTGACTGGGATTTCAACTTCAGCAGCAAAGCCTTAAATCAATGTGACTGCTAAAATGTTGACCTATATAGCAAGGGGCCATGGCCCATGGTATGGCGGGCTGCTAGGAGAGGAGCCAGAGGAGATCACTTCCTCCCCATTAAAAACTCATCAGTGCCCAACACAACAAGCCAAGCAACCGTTGAACAATGATTCTCATCCTTGACTGGCTTTATAGCTCAAATCTATCAAGATGTGCTCACATATATGTCTACAATATCCATCAGGTAATTCAGCATTTAGATGAACTTCTTTGATATTACAGAATATCAAAACAGGTGGTTGCTCACTCACACATGCGCTTAAAAGTCATAAAGTGGCACTTGAAAGTAAATTGCATGTTCCCTGACACAATTCAAAAAGCAATTACTTAGTTATTAAAAACAGGTCACGTTGGTATGAATCACTTTTAACGTAATTAAATTTCACTTTAAAGAATGTGCTTAAGTTAATTGCATTAATCAAAATGACAGTTTCCATATCTTCAAGCAATTCAACAATATGGAAATGTGTCTACTTAAGTAAATCAAGTCTTCATAGTCTTATTTTAAAAAAGGCTACCCATTTTTCACATAGCCTACATACTGTACGTTTCACATGTCAAATAAATACACAAGCTCATCCTACAAAAAAAATAAATAAGGCAGCCTAATGTTGATACTGATTATGATCCCCATTATCAGTTTACTGTGAACAGTTCGCACAAACTTTTCAGACAGTGAGCAGACTAATGAAATTCATCTCTTCTCCAATTTACCTGTTGGGACTGTACCTTCTGGGCACGTTATCCGGTGAATAGGTTAGAAAAGAGCACCTGAAGTGTTTCAGCCCAAAACGCATGCACGCTTCAGTATGTTTGTGTGTGTGTGTGTGTGTGTGTGTGTGTGTGTGTGTAGCAGGCACATACTGTACTGTACCAGCAGAAACGGGACTACAATGTCTGTTAGTACAGTATGTGCCTGAAACTAGGCCCTACATACAGCAAGACACTCTCCTCGCCGGCAACTTGTGCAATGTCAGCCGTACTTACATGGAAAAGACCGCGTGCCCTAAAAACCTGTAGTGTCTTACAGTGAGGAGCCATTGGAATAAATCATTTAGCTTTAGGACCGCTGACCTGTCAAACCATGCAGCTAGCGTACACTGGAATTAGCTTGGTAGGGCAGAGGAACGCGAAGGAATGTTGCATAGGCGCGAGAGCAGTAAATAAACACGCACAGCGCGCGACTCACCGTGTGAATGTTTGGCGGGTTTCAGGGAGATCGCGGGGTTCCTGCGAGTCGGCGTCGCAGATAAGTGAAAACGTCCTGCTTCGTGTATCCAATGCAAGAGTGGAGACACTAGTGCACACAGTGAACCGATACCACCGCAGCGTGCCTTCAAACTAATGTTCCCTCCTCCTAAAAGTCCTCGGTTTGCTGTTTAGAACGTGCACTAGGCTCTTGGTGGTGGGTTTTCCCCTTAGTTTGAAGGGGGGAGAAAAGTCCTCTGCCTTACCCGTGCTGCCACGACAGGGATTTGAAATGAAGAGAAATACTACGATCGCTCCTCCCTCCCCAGTCCCACTCATGTACAGTACCACAGGGAGCGTATAAAACAATTTAATAAAACGATCTACCGCTCTCTACAGGACTAACACTGTAAAATACTTAGATGACTGCACTCTTTCAAACTGCTGTCAGTGTCATGTGAGGCGCATGACAGCGCGGGGGGCATCCGTAAACGTCCCGCAGCATCATTGAAGATCCTCACCACTGCCATTCTGACTTAAAGGTGCACGCATCATTTTTGCTAATTTAAAGGTTTTAAACGTAGAGAAATTAACAGCAGTTTTGAGAAATTTAAAATAGCCTAATGTAATTAACATAGTACACTCATCAATCTTCTAGAAAAAAAAAATGTTTTATTTAAATGCAGTCAGTGGCCCTCAGGACATCACATGATGATCATGTCATGTCATGCAATTGACTGAGTTACTATCAGGCTATTGCTATTAAAGGCCCGAAATACCCTAAAACGGCCAGCATTATTAAATGAGTTAATGTAATTTCCCCTGTAACAGAAAGACAGGGCAGGACATGCTCTTTAAAAAAAAAAAAAATAGCCAATAGTCTACCGCTTTATTTATAAATAATTAAAGCATAGTCCAGGATAAAGATATAGATCAGTGGGTGTGTAATTCACTGGTCCAAATAGTGTGTATTTTTAAGATAATAAATTAAAATAACAAATACAGTTTGCAGCAGCATAACAGACTGTTTTGTGCAGTTAAAATAACTGGAAGTTGCTAAAACAGTTTAAAAGTCAAAAAATTACCTTTACATTAAAAATAATCTGTAAAGTGGATAAAATATAAAAACTATACATAAAGAAGCAGTTCCTGATGGCTTAGTGAAACAAGCCACAATGATGTGCAGGTCTTGACACAGATTGAAGGAAAATGTTAGGGCATCATCAACTGCCAAGTACTCTCATTCACATCACAGCCATTGCAGGGCATGGGGACGGATGTAAACTGATTAAATGGGGAAAAAAACTAGGTAAACAAACTGTTTCGATATAATACAGTACCAGTTAGTGAACAAACTTAATGCATCCAAGGTGACAGGTGTCATTAGAGTGCAAAACGTCTGGTGCTAATGTGATGAATAAGACTAATCTAACCATCAAATTGATTGTTCACCTGAAAATGAAAATTACCATTATCTAACCCTCATGTCGTTCCTTTAAAATTTGTTCTGCTAAATCCCACAGTGAGTTGTGAAAAGAAGGTACATGCTCGAAACCTTTTCACATCTGTGCATGCTGCCTATAGAATATGCTCAATTGCTTTAATTGAATTGCATTCTGATAGGTACAGTATGACTGGTTAAATCTAAAACAGAATGAGTAATTTGAGCGTAAGTGAAGGACAACTGCACTAATTAAATATGAATGTCACACGGAGAAATGGAGAGAAGGCAAGAGCAGGTAATCACGTTTATTAAATAAACACCAAAAACGACACACAGGGACGTGCAAGTGACGCAGGGACCTCGATGGAACCCGACTGAAGGTGATGAGTGATGAGAAGTATCCAGATCCAGAAAGTGCAGATGATGAACAGGTAAGACACAACACACAATTTAAGACGGGAACAGAGACCACAAGCGAAGACCAAACAGGAAGAGAACCTACACCAGAACACATAACGATCTGACAAAGACAAGATGCAAACAGTGAGTCCATGTATGCACGGCTGATGGGATGCAACTGGCGCCGTAGATGATATCAGCGGTAGTGGTCAGTGACCACGCCCACACACACACAATAACAATGACACGAGACAAGGGCACAGTAGATTCACAAACTGTGACAGTACCCTCCTTCCTAGGAACGCCTCCTGGCGTTACCAGACGTCCTTACCTGTCGCTTGTAATCACCGATAAGGGAGTGGTCCAGGATGTCCCAAGCAGGTACCCAACTTTTCCCCTCTGAACCATAACCTTCCTAGTCCACCAGATACTGGAATCCACGACCCCTCCACCTTGAGAATATGTAGAATGTTAGTTGAAAGCCACACTTTTTGACCAACAACTAATATGGGATGCTTCGACCGGTGGAGATTGGCGTTTGCCTTGGTGCGTGCCCCCACCTGGAGCAGAGTCTCTCGGGTAACCTAAGCTATACTCTCAAACAGAGATAGGACTGAGGATGACACTGGTAGCAAGTTATGAGTGTAGTCAACCATTGAGAGCTGCTGACTCCAAGAGGAAGGATTCTTTGATACCAAACATCGCAACGTTCTTTCCAGATCCTGTTTGGCTCACTCGGTTTGGCCATTGCTCTGGGGATTAAACCCAGAGGACAGACTGCGTTCCCATAATTGACAAAATTCTCACCAAAATTTGCACACAAATCGGGGACCCCTGTCGGAAACCACATCAAATGGGAGGCCATGTACAGTAAGCGAAAAACATGGTCAACCACAGTCTCCGCTGTTTTTAGAACCCGGGCAGAAAAAAGAGCCCACCAAGCCTGCCTGGAGTTGAGTCTTTTGGCAGTGCTGATGTATTCTAAGTTCTTGTGATCGGTCCAGACGATTAAAAGGTATCGCCGACCCTTCAATGACCCCACTCCTCTAACGCTAGCTTGACCTCCAACAACTGTTACCAATGTCATTGTTACATTCAGCAGGAGACAACCAGAAAAAAAAAGTGCACGGCTGCATATACGTGCGCTCGATAGTAGCCTCACACTTGACCTTTTACCAGGCAGGCATGTAGGAAGTGGCTCACCTTATAAGCAAAAAAAAAAATAATAATAAAAAAAATAATAATAATAATAATATAGAACAAATAAATGGAAAGAAAAAAGACACAAGACAGGGGTACATAACTTATAAGAAAAGATTACATATCAAACGAAAAGATTAAAAGACTTACATATTCCAATTGTTTTTAAACCCTTCTTGGTACACGAGTTAGAGATAATCCCAAAGTAATGTTTCTTGCAAGCGTTTCTAGCTAAAACGTATGGCGACGTACACAGTGACGTAACAACGTCGTTCCCTGGGTGCTCTAGTCAGTGGGAAAACAAACAGGTTCTGAAGCAAATCGCAAGTTGAACCAACTCCGAACCAACTTTGAACCAGCACCAGTTCCGAACCAGTTCTTTTTTTGGTGGAAAAGGGGTATCTGAGAAAATATTTCAATCTAAAACGTTCTTACAAGATTTATTTTGTAAAACGTCAAAACGCTTACCACAATATTAAAAGAAAACAAAATGCATTGCTGATCACACATTGGATTGTTTAAAAGTCTTTTAATAATGATTGTCATCAGGGTCGTGTGCTCTGACTGGAACTAAACCGAGCGTCAATGACAGAAAGTGAAGTGTTCTAACAATGTAGAATATGTTGAAGAAATTATGTTTTTTGAACATTTAAGCATGTGAATCCTACTCTCAAAAACAAAATCAAGACTATGAAAAAGGGCATAATATGGCCTCTTTAAAGTTTGTGAGGATTTAAACAAAGTTCTCTTAAGCCGCTTTCCGACCAAGTAGTTACAGGAACTTAGTTATAGGAACTGTCCACTTCTAAACAGTTCTAAGAACCACTCTCCCCCAAATTCGGATTTGCTGCTTGCGTTTGCCTTGGCCAATAGGCCATAGGAACTGGTAGGAGGGGTAACGCAAGCACGGCGACGGTATTTATCACTAGACGTAGCGCGGCCACATACAACAATAACAAACCAGCGTGGAGGAGGCTATTATTGCAATGTTCCTGTTCTGCCTTGCCGGGACCTTAATAACGGAGAACGAACGGCAGCGTTTAAAGATTATGCTTGAGTTCTGTACAGAGAAACACAGAAGACGAAGGCTCCAGCGTAATGTGATATTAAGTAATATGATGGAAGAAGATAAAAGAGCAGAGCGCAGGAGGCAAACAAAACGACGGGTAAGTTTAGCTAGCATTAGCAATCAGCTGGTTGAATGCGTTATGTTTATCTTAATCCTTAGTTGTAATGTTTTGCAAAAACACACCGCGTATGGCAGACAGCGCGCTACAAGTTCCGTGTTGGCAGTGGGCATGACTTTTATAAGTTTAACCAATCAACGTATACCTAGGGAAAGGGAACTAAAAAAAAGTCCTCGCTCTAGACTATGTACTGAAAGAGTTATAGGAACTACGGTCTGTGGAACTAAAAAAATCCCCAATTTAGTCCGGTCGGAAAACGAGAAAAAAAGGGTTATAGGAACGTTAGGTTCTAGGAACTGCAAAAGTCCCTCCGGTCGGAAAGCAGCTTTCGATATCCAAGTTAAGAGTGCTAAGAAATCCCTCAGTGTATCAAATAAATATATACATTTGTGCTTGATATGTTATTGAGACTGGGCCTACCACATCTAATGACTCAAGCAGCAAAGAACATCTCATCCGTAAATCCTGCTCTTCCACACACCCGTGAGGAAAACATACATGAAAACTCTCTGATCTCAGTGGGGTGCTAAACCATAGCTAACATATAAAGTTACCAATGATAGGAAGTCGAGCGTCAACATATGATGAAGGATTCTAAATGCATATTTTGTGCAGTGTTCTTGAAGTCCCACCACATACACAAGGCGTCATGCACACTGTTATGTTTCTGTCATCAGATCGTCATCATAATTGATGTTCAAAATATTTTGAACACACTGCAGGAACAGTTTCCAGAACAGATCTTTAATAAGTCCAATGAGTTTCTGCAATGTGTATGAACCTTCAGGCTGAATCCTTTTAAAGTCTGGCTCTCCAACAGACTACAATTTTACTTTGAGACAGTTTTTTTGTTTGGTTTGCATTTACTGAATAGTTTGCCACTTAGATTTTAAATAAGTTGAAAAACAAAGAAAAAAATCAATGCATCAAATAGTTTAGGTTGAGGTGGTGAAAGAATGCAATGACTGCAGTGTAATTGTATAAAATTACACTAATTTAGGGAAATTCATGCTGGTCTAAACTTTCTTTTTAGGGTACAGGTAACTTGAAACTGCCCCAGAGGGTCAAATAAAGGTA